CGTACTGCGCGGCGCCGCCTCCGGGCCTCCAAGATGGACGCCGGGGCGGGGCCAAGAGCCTCCAACCATTTCCGCTTCCGGCGCGGGAGCCTTTTCGCGCCGGAAAGGACCGAAGCAGCGGAAATGTGCTGTGCCGCGCAGGCGCAGACGCGTCCCCTGGCTCCGGGCCCAGACGCCGACGCTCCAGGTCTTGTCAGCGCCCGGGACTGGGCCCATGGCCACGCCCCTAGCCACCAACCAGCCAATAGAGGAGGGCTGTAGTGGTTGCCAAGGTAAACCTCTAGCGGCAAGATGGCAGCGGCCAGGCGAGGACGCCCAGGGATCCCGGTGCAGCGCCGGAACCCGCCGGGGCGGCCGCCGCAAGACGGTAACGGCTGCAGGGCGGGGCTGCAGGGCGGGCGTCCGGACGCCCTACGCCCTACCCGGCCCCGATCCCGGCGGCGCTCCCTACGCGAGCCCCCACGAGCTCCGATCGGCACCCCCGGGGCCTGGAAAGGGTCGCGCCCCCGCGGGTGCTGCTGTCCCGCTCTGACCACTGAGCCAAGCCGGCCGGGGCCTGACCCCCGTTCTGAGCAGATGCAGGAGTCCAGTAGCGCCCACACTTCGCTAGAGCCGCTCCCCCCAAGTTGTGCCTCGCAGACAGGGGGCTGGGGGGCGGGTTGGGAATTGGGGGTGCTGCGGTCAGCCCCTGAGTGGCGAGAGGGAGGCTGCGTCCTGGTGGGGCGAGGCCACCCCGGGGGCCTGCGGAGAAGCGGCCGGCCCCCCACTCAGGGCCCTCACAGGCGCCCTCCAGGGGCGATCCCCACCCTGGGCCTCACTCACAGGCGCCCTCCAGGGCGGTCCCCACCCTGGACCTCACTCACAGGTGCCCTCCAGGGGCGATCCCCACCCTGGGCCTCACTCACAGGCGCCCTCCAGGGCGGTCCCCACGCCCCGCTTACCGCCTCCCCCCCCTGCGCCCAGCAGGTGCTCATGGTGTTGGGTGCATGAGCCAGCGGCCGAGTGGCTGGATGGACAGTGCACAGGAACAGCGCTGACCCCCGCCCAGCCCCGGGCAGCGTGTTGGGCCGTCAGGGAGGTGAAGTGCACAGACACCTGGAGAGCCCCCAGGCCGCCGGCCGAGTGCTTGCTGGAGGTCAGCCAGGGCACGTGTCCGGCGCTCACCTGGGCACCCTTTCCCCAATATTCAGGTTACGGCGTCTACGTGTACCCGAATTCTTTCTTTCGATACGAAGGGGAGTGGAAAGGAGGGAAGACCCACGGTAAGAAACGTCTGTGGCCCCTTCCCCCAGCCGCCGCCTTGCAGCTGACAGCCCATTTCCTTGGGGATCTTGGGGTGGGCGGGTGGCACTGGGTGCCAGGGGCACTGGGCCCACGTGCTGTCCCTATTGCCCAGGAAAGGGCATTCCCTGTGGCATTGGGGACCATGGGACAAGACGCCCTGGTGCTGCCCCGCGGCTGGCCGCAAGCCCGGGCAATGGCACCGCGGTCGTAGGAGACCCCTCGGCCGGCCACCTTCGCACAGGCAGGGAAACTGCAACTGGGAAGTCCTCCCTGGGGTTTTAGTTCATCTTTGCCAACGTGAAAACAGTGGCAGCTGCTTTCATGGTTTATTTCTGATGAGGAAGAGCCTACCTAGTCCTGTAGAAAGTCTGAGCCGCAGAAGAGCGAGAGTGTCCGTGACGGTCACCTGGAGGCCTCCCCAGAGGCGGCGCCCGGGTGGTCCACAGCTCTGCTCACAGTTTCACGTCCGTCTGGGGCTCTGCCGGCTCACGTCCGTCCTCTGCCGGTTTTCCTGCTGGAGAATCAGCCTCCTGCTATTTTCTTACATGAAACTGTTGCACCTGTTGGCTCCAGTATTTTCTGTATTTTTAACCTTTTGGCTCCTGTTGTGGTGTCTTTGCCGCACAGAGATCTCTCACTTTCGCGCAAACCTGACGCTTCCTCCAGGCTGGGTGTGAGACTCGCCCGTGAGACGTACCAGCGCCGGGCTGGACTGAGTGGGCCCCCTTGTTGAAACGCACTGTTCAGCTGTCACCTTCGTCCACAGACTCCTGCCCCTGCCCTGGCGTGAGGTGGCCGTAGTGTCCCTCAGGAGGAGGAGGAGGGGACGTGGCCTCCTCCGCACTCTTGATGGGTCTGCAGTTACCCCGGGCAGGATAGCACAGGGCTCAGTCTTGTGTCAAGAACATTTTTCTTATGTTTTTTGTTATTTTTGTGTGAGTGGGTTTTTTTTAATTGATTTCAGAGAGAGGAAGGGGGAGGGAGAGAGAGAGAGAAACATCAACGATGAGAGAGTCATGGATCGGCTGCCTCCTGTTCGCCCTGATTAGGGGTTGACCCTGCAACCCGGGCATGTGCCCCGACCAGGAATCGAACCAGTGACCTCCTGGTTCATAGGTCGACGCTCAACCACTGAGCTAAACCAGCCGGGCAAGAATGTTTTTCTTAATCAGTACGTACGCGGGTGAGTTTGCAGAGCACACGTGCTGGACGAGAGGAGGAGCCCCACATGGGGACCCAAGCACTCCGGAGCCCAGCTCTTCTCTCTGAGAAATGGCCCGGCCACGTGTGGGCACCAGCGGGCACCCCGACCGCTGTGTGATGTCCCGTCACAGTTTCTCCCACCAGGCAGAGGGAAGCTGCTGTTTAAGGATGGAAGTTACTACGAAGGCGAGTTTGTGGACGGCGAGATCGTGGGCAAAGGCTGCCGGCACTGGGCCGCCACAGGTTAGCTGCCGAGACGCGTGGGGCGCGCTGGTTCCTTTCTCATAAACCACCTCTCTTCCGGGAGCAGAAGGCACTTCGTCTGTAAATGGGGGGCCCTGGTTTCCCTGGGGCGTCTTATAACAGCGGTGCCAACCTGGGGCAGGGCGATGGACTGCTGCCCACGGCATGGCCAGGGGCTGTCTCCAGACCCTCAGACCCTCACGGGCAAGTGCGGCGGTCAGTTCTCAGTGGAGAGAAGGCTCACCCCACAGACCCTGGGCACGTCGGTGCTCACCAGGGGTCAGCGTGGGTGAACTTTGCAGAAACCAAGAGGGCAGGTCCAGACCCACCTGGTCCCCAGTTCCCTCATGAACCAGAGTCAGTAATGGGACAAAGAGACCCTCTCGTCTGTCTGAAATGGCCCGGCTGCCACCATTGCTCAGGGGACAGGTGGGGGACCCAGGAAATGGCTCTGACCCCAAGCTCGTTTCCCCTCCCCCTTTTCGACCCCAGGGAACACCTACTGTGGCCAGTTTGTGTTGGGAGAGCCGCAAGGGCAGGGCGTCATGACGTACAGAGCCGGCGGGCGTTACGAAGGGGAGCTGTCCCACGGAGTGAGGGAAGGTCTGACGTCCGCCCAACTCGGGGAATGTTGGCCGAGCACCCACATTCGGACTCCTCAGGCTGCGTGGGCTCAGGGGCCTGCACTTGACCAGGGAGCCTGGTGTCCCCTTGGGTCTGGGAACCCCGCCCCCCCTTGTGACTGTGGGGGTGGGGAGGAGACGAGGGTGCCCTCCTCTCTGCCCCCAGGGCCACGTCTGCCGCAGTGCAGTGTGCGCGGGGCCGGGCCTGTGACGCCAGCCCCCGCAGTGGGACAGGCCACCCAAATCCAGTGGCTCAGAACGACCACATTGTATTATCTGCTTGCAATCCCGGGGTCAGCGGTCTGGCCTGGGCCTAGCTGGACAGGTCTTCTGTCCTCTCTGTGTGGCCCTACGGCTACAGTCACGGCGGCTCAGCCAGGACCCAGGGTCCTCGCCGCGGCCTCGGGGCTCCCAGGGGCCAGAAGCACAAGCTCTGTTGAGGCCTCAGCCTGGGCTCGGTCTCCTCACCCTGCTGGACAGAGCGAGACAGGAGGCCACACTTGGGGCGGGGGGCGGACTGCGCCCCGGGGGTGGGTGGGCGGTGAGCGCTGCTCGAAGGCCGAAGGCTCAGGGTTCCTGGAAGCGCAGCCACCCCGAGGCCAGCAGGACGGTCACAGATGTCCAAGGGCCCGAATGACCAGAACTTCCGACGGCCCAGAACCGGAAAGCCCCAAACAGTGCTTCAGCCGCGTGCGCACGGGGCCTCCTCTGCCTCTAGACCGGGGTCCCGAGAGTGGGCCCTTCAGTGCCTGCCGCTCGTTGAGGGTCCTGCAAACACACACACACCCCTGGGCCCTGTAGCAGCGTCACCCTCCAGGCAGCAGGCGCGTCAACCTCCGTGGGGTCTGAGGGGCCCCTTCAGCCGTGGCCCTGCCCCTCAGGGCCGTTGAGAGCTGCACCCTGGAGCCATTTCCGCTGTGTCGTGGCTGCAGGCGCCGTCCCAAATCAAATACTCTGTCCCCTGGAAGGGCCCCTGGGTCCAGGGTGCCGAGTCCTGAAGACACCACCTTCCTGCTCCGGGGGCTGGGGGTCCACCCACGGCCGGCGCAGGTGACACTGGCTCTTGGCTCCTCCCCAGGACACGGGTGTCTGGTGGACCAGGACGGGCACCTGTACCGGGGCTCATTCCACAACAACAGGCGGCACGGCCACGGGCACATGGCCTTCCCGTGAGTACGTGGCCGAGGCCTGAACCCAGCGCCAGGCCCAGTCGTCAGAGCTCGGCCGTGTGTCTGGTGGGGTCTGTGCTTCCTCCCTCAGTTGCTGAAATGGGCCGTTTGTGTGTTGAGTGGAGCATGGAGCCCCCACAGAATCCCCGTGGGGGTCGGGAGGGGGGAGTGCGGCCTGCAGGCGCCTGTCTCCCTCCAGCCGCAGGCTGGACGCCGGCCTCTTAAACTCCTGGGCCAGTTTCTCATCCAAAACCCTGCCGTTGGGATTTGCGGGTCCGCCTCCCCCTTGGACCTCTCCAAGTCCGGCACACCCCGGGGGCCGGGGCCCTGCGCTCATCGGGACCTGC